ATATATTTGGTTGAGAAACATATCACTGCCATAATTATATACATTTGAGAGTATTCAAATGAGGTTAATATTCTAAATTAAGAAAACAAGAGGACTATCTCATTTGATACTTGTTGAGAGTAGATACTGAATGTTATGCGTATGTACCACTGAGGGTCAAACTAAAATGAATTCAGATATTAATAAAAAAGTCACACAAGGACTGAAATGGAAGGTTACTAATAAGTGAAACAATCAGATCAATTTTATATCTTTTTAAAATGATCCTACTTACAGTTATTTGATTTTGTGTTATAATTGCGTAAGTCATGATCCTTTGTCTCTGAACTTAATTCAGAAATTTAATTGGCCTATATTGAGTTAAATTCAGAAATCCAGTTCTTCTGCTAAACTGTTCTATTCTTGTGTCAAGGAAATCTGTTACCCTGAAAGAATGCAAGTGGACACCAGGAAGTCTGGTGTAGTATCTTTATGCCTCAAAGCTGTCCTTCAAGGATGGCTGGTTTATTATCCCAAGAAGTCTGGTTTGCTATCTCAGTCCTTGCAGATGTAGCTGGATTCAAACAATGAACATTTCTTCATCGCAGGAGAGAAGGAAGGGGTTGTCACTAGTCCTCATTCCCAATTCCCATCTACTCATTTTATTCCATCTCTGATGCTAGCATTTCTCTTTTCTGTACTCCCCAAAACTATGAATGAGAGCTGTCCCCCTTATATGGGGTTTTTGCTTTCCTGGGGAAGCTGAGATCCTATTTATTGTTAAATTTGTACTTAACTAATAAATTGATCATGCTTGGGACTTTGTGCCTCAGTCTATCTTAATTTTTTATCTGTTATATAAGTAAGCAAATTAAACAAATATAGGTAGACTAAACTGGTATCTGCTAGAAATCTTAACAATACCGACTGTTTTCTTTCAAGGTCCTTCAGAACAGAATATGTGTGTATCTTTATAGGATCCTAGATCTAGGGCAGGACAAGATTTTGGAGGTTGCCTTGTCAGTTCCTCTCATTTTATACCTCATTAACTCATTTAGCACCTAAGCTGTGCTTTCAATGAAGACAAGGAGTCTTTTAAGTAGAGACAACAAAGGCATGTGTTCAGGGCATAGGGATGTACTTGTGTAAAGATACAGAAGTGGGAGATGGACTCTTGTCATTTAAACAGTCAACAAGATATTTATTAGCATTTACCATGTGGCAGACACTGTGCTTAGTGTTGGGGTTACAAAAAAGGTCAAGAGTTCCTGAACTCAAAGAGTTCATATTCTAATGGAGTAAAAACTGTGAAAAAGTTGTACACACAGAATATACGTACAACATAAATGGAAGGAAATCTCAAAGAGAAGGCCCAAGTAGAGGTGGGAGAAGGAAAATCCTTCTTTAGATGATGAGATTTACTCTGAGTCTTTTTGTTTAATTGTTTTTTGCAAGGCAGTGGGGTTAAGTGACTTGCCCAGGGTCATGTAGCTAGTAAGTGTCAAGTGTCTGAAGCCAGGTTTGAACTCAGGTCCTCCATGACTCCAGGGCTGGTACCCTATCCACCGCACCACCTAGTTGCCTCAAATTTACTCTGTGTCTTGAAGAAAACCAGGGAAGCAGGAGGTAAAGATGAGAAGGGAGGGCATTATGAGTGTGGGCTATAGTCAGTGCAAAGGCTCATGGTGGGAGTGTTAGAGTGTCGTGTTGGAGGAATTACAAATATGTCAGTATATCTGGGTCATAGAGTACATAGAATAAAATATAAAAAGGGGCCAGATTATGAATGGCTTTAAATGTCAAACAGAAGGTTTTATGTTTGATTTTTGGAGGTAATAGAGAGCTCCCAGAGCTTATTGAGTAGGGGTGTATGAGTATGTGTGTGTGTGTGTGTGTGTGTGTGTGTGTGTGTATGCATGTACATTTGTGTGTGTGACATGATAAATCCTGTTCTTTAGAAAAATCACTTTGGCCACCAAGTGAAGGATGAATTGGAGTGGAGAGAGACTTAAGGTCAACCACAATGGTACAGCAGTAGTCAATGCATGGTGAGATGAGGTCTTGTACCAGGGTGGTGGTTGTGTGTAGAGAGGACAGAATGTGTACAAGAGATGTTGTGAAAGCAGAAATGACAAGATGGCAACAGATTGTATATGTAAGGAGAATTTGAATGAGGAGCTGAGAATAACATCTAGTTTGAAAGCCTGGTTTCCTGGGAGATAAGTGTAGCCCTCAGCAATAGGGAAGTTCAGAAGAGGGAAGAATTTGGGAAGAAAGACTGTGAATTCTGTTTTGGATATGTTGTATTTGAAATCCCTACATGATATATATTTTGAGATGTCCAAAAGGCAGTTGATGACATGAGAATTAAGAAGTTAGGGCTAGATATTATTTGTAGAGAAATATGTGTACCCATGGGAGCTGAAGAGATCACCAAATGAGATACTATAGAAGTAGAAGGTCCAGCATGCCTACAATTAGTGAGTGTGACCTGGATGACAGATCTTGTGAATGGGAAGTAGCTAGGTTTGATTAAAATGAAGAGTATTTTAAGCAGAGTAATACAAAATAAGACTGGAAAACAAAGAAGGAACCATATTATGACATACTTAAAATGCCTGACTGAGGAGTTTATGTTTTATCTAAGGAATTCTCATATGATAGTCCTGTTCTGGCCTGGGATGCCAACCACTGAAGTACTGCAACTTAGGAAAACCATTCAGAAGAGGACAACAAGGATGGTGAAAGACCTTTCATCAGTGCCATATAAAAACAGTTGAAGGAACTGGGGATATTTAGGCTAGAGAAGACAAGGCTCATGAGGGACATTATAGTTTTGAAAGGCTGTCATGTTTAAGAAGGATTCCATTTGTTCTCCTTTTCCCCAAAAGAAAGAACAAAGAAAAATAAATGGGAATTGCCAAAAAGAAAATGTAGGCTTGACATAGATAATAATATCCTAACAATTAAAAGTATCTAGAAGTAGAATAGACAGCCCAAAGTGGAAAAGCTTGTGAAACCGGGTCAATAGAAAGATGATGGTGTCATTAATAAAAGTGGAAAAGTTGAGAGGAAGGATTGAATTTTGGGAATTAAGTTGGGTTCTGTTTTGGACATGCTGAGTTTGCAATCAAAGATGATAATTTAAGCAGTAAGTCTTCACATGTGTAATCCTGAGTATAGTCAAATTGGACCTCTCATCCATAACAGCTATGTGACCCTGGGCAAGTCACTTAACCTGTCAGTTCCCCCAAATACCTCTCTTAATATTACAGTTGTACAGCCTTTGCTGATTTACATTGGTAGATCTGCATTTCCTTATAGAAGTTCTGTATAACAATGAAATTACAAGTCCAGGTCTCCTCCCGACAAAAACAAAAAAGTGTATGAGTACTTAGACACAACCATTTGGAGAGAATTAAAGAAGGCTTAATTTCCTTTATTTTGTTCCAAAATTTTTCTACCCTGCCCTCTCCCCTTTATCCTAAGGGTATTCTTCACATCCAGATCTCCTGGAAACAGCATTTATGGGTTTCTTTAATATGTCTTAAACCCAGAAATATTCTCTGGCCAAAATAGTTTGTGAAGAACTAATTAAAGAGAGAACTAAAAGCATGGGGAAAGGCCAGCTCCCATATGAATATGTTTCTTTTTAGTGGAAAAAAAGGTCACCTTTACCTAATGTGGGTAGAGTGTATATGTAAGTCATTAAATCCTTGACAATTTTTAAAACACTAGTCACATTTGGCATGCTAAACTTTTTTTTTCTTTTTGTCACATTCTCAGTGGCTTTCGAGAATGTTCAGTAGGTCTATTTATATAATTGATTTAAGAGAGATTCTGTGTAAGAATGGCATCAAAAAGATCTGAGTTTTCTTGAAGTAGAATAGGGAATTCAACTACCTTCTAGATCAGGGGCCCTGAACCTGAGGTCTGTAGATAACCCCTTAGGCATTAGTGGTTAGTGAACCTAGATAAGAAAAAAAATACATCTTAATTTTCACATTATTTTCACACTAATTGAGCTTTAATCAGCGTGTGATTATGCTAGTGTGAAAATTTCTCCCACAGATGCAGATCACAGGGGCAGCTAGGTTTCACAATGCACAGAGCACTGGCCCTGGAGTCAGGAGGACCTGAGTTCAAATCTGACCTCAGACACTTGACACTTATTAGCTGTGTGACCCTGGGCAAGTCACTTAACCCCATTGCCTAGCCAAAAACAAACAAACCAACAAAACAAAAATAAAAAAAAACAAATGCAGACCACAGCCCATCTATGACTTAGTAGATGATCACATCAATCAACACTTAAAGAAAATAATTCAGATTATTCACTGGAAGGTCAAATACCAAAGCTGAAGTTTAAATACTTTGATCACATGATATGAAGACAGTACTCATTGAAAAAGATCCTGATGTTGGGAAAGAGTGAAGGTAAAAGGAAAAGAGGATGGTATAGGATGAGGTGGATAGATAGTATCATGGAAACAGCAAACATGATTAAAAGATAAGGAGGATAACAGGGCATGGTGTGCTATGGTCCATGTGGAGTCAGACAAGACTGAATGACAGAAGAAGGAGGAGGAGAAGGAGGAGAACAGCAACAGCAGCCAGCACAACAGCAACAACAGCAACAATAACAACAAATGAATCCCAGGGACTTGCCTGAGGTATATAGAGGTTAAAAGACTGAGAGCTGAGGACCTGAGTTTGATTTCTCTATCCAAAACTCTTACTAGGTATGTTATCCTGAACAGGTCCTTACCTATAAAATGAGGATAATAATAGCACCTAATTCACAGGGTTGTTGTCAAGATAAAATGAATTAAGATATAAATTACTACTACTACTACTACTACTACTACTACTACTGCTACTAACTTTCAAGTGCCAGAGCAATCATTTGAACTCAGGTCTTCTAGAATCCAACCCTAGAATGGTATTACTCCACGCTGTCTTTACTTAGAGTATTTTTCCTATTTTACTATTCAAACAGTAATGTTATGTATTTCTTTCAGGTATTTGTACAAGAATGAAATCCACACAATAGATGCCCAAGCGTTTAAAGGGCTTATATCCTTGGAACAGCTGTAAGTAATGCTAATTTATTGAAACACTGATTGAGTTTATTGAGAAGCAAAACACTTTAGTGTTGTTTTTTCCTACAAAGTTCAATTGTGAGACTACAAATTTATACATATATATATATGTATATATATATATATGTGTGTGTGTGTGTGTGTGTGTGTGTGTATGCTATATAACATGCTTTTTAAGCCATATGTTCAAATTATGTCATATTCTGTGAATAGCTCTATAAATTCTTATGCGTATTACTTTAGGGTTTTCTTTTAAATAAAAGTTGTAGGCAATGAAAGTTAAAATGGACCTTAGAAAGCCTCCAGTTCAATTCCTTATCGGATTTAGAATTGGTAGGAAGCTTGGAAATCATCTAGGTCAACCTACTTATTTTACATATAAGGAAATAGAGCTAGAGATGTTATATCACTTGGCCAGTGTCACCATGGATAGTACATATATGATCCAGAACTCAAATTCAGGTCCTTCGATATCAGTCACCCCCTGGTCTCATGATAGCTTGCTGGTCTCCTTCATTTTTTGAAGAAGAGCTGAGGCCTAGAGCAGTGAGATGACTCACACTGTGGTGTTGCCAGTGAGGGCTCCTAGCTAAATTTCCAGTCCAATTTTCTTTTTGCTACATAAAACTGATAATGTGAAAACTATGCATGATGCCCCTGCAAACTGGCAAATCACTATCAGAACCCCAGGATGAAATATAAATCTCACTATGAGAAAAATAAAATTAAGTGAATAAAGCCACCGCAACAAAATTGGATACTTTACTCCAGATTTTTCTATGATGCCTGAGTGTTTGTGAGACAAATCCTTCTGCTATATTTGAAAGCATTGTCCACGCTGACCAGAGCTTTCGAGACATGCTTCCATTGAGTAGCAATCCTTGTTTATGGTGTTTGCATGAGAAAATCTTTAAGACATCACTTTTTATTTATGTACAGTTTTTAATAGAACTTTAATAGCAGAAATCTGTGATTACTGGCTTGAGGGAAACCTGGTTTAATAGCAGTATGTAAGAAAAGACCTGGGGATTTTAGTGCACTGAAAATTTAATATGTCAGCTCTGTGGGGTGGCAGTCCAAAAAGCTAATCTTTTTTTCTCATCTGTAAAATGAGGATAAAAATAGCACCTACCTCCCAGGCTTGTCATGAGACTCAAGTGACATAATAGTTGCAAAGCGTTTAGCACAATAAGCACTATATAAATGTTAGTAATATAATGATATTATCCAATCATTTATTTAATTTATATTATTTATTAGCTATTCTTTAATAATAATTATTATTTGTACCACCTTAGGTTGTGCCCATACCCAGGTGAGAAGTGTTGTATAGTGGAAAGAACACAGACTTTGGAGTGAGAGGATTTAAGTTCAAACCCTACTCTGTTACTCACTACATATCCGACTTTGGGCAATTCACTTAACTCCCTTGGAGCCCCAGTTTCCTCATCTGCAAAATGAGGGGATGAACTTTTCCCTTCCACCTTCTCCACTGCTGTCAAAGGCAACGCCATCCTCCCTGTCCTACAGGCTCACAACCTAGTTGTTATCCTTGACTCCTCACTCTCTTGAATCCTGCCCCCCTCACATCTAACCTGTTGCCAAGGCCTATTGATTTCACCTTTGCAATATTTCATGAATGCTCCCTCTTCTCTCCTCTGTAACTGCCACCTCCCTGGAGCAGGCCCTGATTTCCTCATGCCCAGATTACTGCAGTGGCTGCTGGTGGGTCTGCCTGCTGCAAGTCGGCTCTCACTCCAATCCATCCTCCACTCAGCCGCCTTAGTGATTCTTGCAAAGCACAGGTCTGACCATGTTAACCTTGTCCCACTCCCCCAGCTCTATAAACTCCAATAGCTCCCTGTCTATTCACAGATCAAATACAAAATCCTCTGACATTCGAAACCTTTTCTAACCACCCATGCATGTCATGGCATCACCTCCCTAATGTCATGGTCCTCTTCGGGAACAAAGGACAAACAAGAGCAACAAACAAAATCACCCATCCTCTTTCCAGCCTTCTTTTACCTTAAACACCTCCATTTATTCTTCTATGCAAGGACAATGGCCTCCTAGCGGTTCTTTGAACAAGATACTCCATCTTAGTTCTGGGCATTTTCACTGGCAGGCACCACGCCTGGAATGATCTCCTTCATTCCTGTCTCTTTGCTTTCCTGTCTTTTTTCAAGTCCCAGCAAAAATTCCATCTTCTACAGGAAGCCCATGCCAACGCCTCCAATTCTAGTGCCTTCCCTCTCTTGATTACTTCTTAGTTGTCCTGTGTTGAGCTTGTTCATAATAGTTATTTGCATGTTGTCTCCCCCACCCTTCATCAGCGTGATGAACTCCTCGAAGTCAGTGGCTGGTTGTCTTTTGCCTTTCTTTTTATCTCCAGCACTTAGTTTTGACTTTATAGGCCTCACACCTATGTGTCTTATACATGGCAGGTGCTTACTTTATACTTACTGAGTGGAACTGAAAAGAAATAGGGTTGTTTTTATGTATATTACATTCTTGTCCCACATCTGTCTATGTTGTCTCCATTGTTTTAATTTTGGGTCACGTTCTAATTTAAAGAACACTCATGGTCCAGTTAAGTAGGAAAAATCTATTTACCTAACATAACATTTTGTATTGTACTCTACAGTTAAGAAAGCCTTTTCATAACAGTCCAACAAGGGAGATGACAAGGTAGTTATTTTTTATCCATTTTGCAGGTGAGGTAACTGAGACTCAGAGAAGTTGACTGGTCAAGGTTTTACCAGTGCTGGGGTTAGAAAATCAGGTCTTTGTACTCACTACCTAGTGCATTTTTCATTAAAGTTATGCTGATGTTTATCATTTAAATATGTTTACAAATGTTTTTATAAACATTTAGCATAGTAAGAGGCCTAATTTCTATTTAAGATGCACATAATTCCCATCATTAAATATTTTAAATTCTAAAAATAATTGGCTCTTTTTATTGGCAATGAGTAATGCTATACTCATTTTTTTAGATGCTGTGGAAACATGCAATTCTAATTTCTATTTTTAAAGCACAGTAACACTCAGGCTTTCTTATGTTGGCCTCTAAAGAAAGAAGTTTGTTGTTAGCTAAAAATTTCATATTTAATTTTTCATTTAGACTGTAATTGGTTATGTTAATCCTAGCTCTGAAAGCCAAGTTTGTTTTGGACTCTGTCTACATAACTACTGGGTAGTTCAATTCCCCTTGAACCCTCCCTACAGCCCCAAGTGGGAAGGCTTAGAAATAACATAGTTGTCATTTGCAGAATTGTTAAAGATGCTATGTCAAACTGCCCTAATTCTGCCTCACTGATCCAAAATCAACCTTTGACAGTAACTTAAGGCATGTTTTGAAGATGGCTTTTTTAGTGCAATGTCTCAGATATTTGGTTTAATTTTAACAGTAAAAGTTCTATAACTGGAACCTGTTTCAGGGACATGTGTCAATAGGACTGTTTTCCTTATGTTGGCCATGAAAAAGGAAATTATGATTAATTTAAAAAATCGTTATTGTCTTTTGTTTCTAGATCATAGTCATTCCCCCCAATCATTCCCTCCCCCCACAAATGGATTTTCCTTTGTAACAAAGAAAACAGATTTAAACAAAACTGATTGACATAGTAACAAGCAATGTGTACCTGATTCCACAAGCATAGACTTCCCCTTCTTTACAGAGAGCCAGGAGGTATATTTCATCATAAATTTTCTAGGATCAAGATTGGTCATTGTAATTTATTCGAATTCAATTACTTTTGAATGTCATTTTAACTAAAGGTATTATAATCGCTATGCATGTCATTTGCTAGCTTAGTTTACTTTATTTTGTACAAATCTTCCCAAGTATCTGAATTTCTCAAATTTAAGGGAGGGGAGGAGAAGTAGAGTAAGAAGGAGAGGGAAAATGAAAGGAGAGAAAGAAGGAAGACTAAAAAGGGGGAAGTGAAGGGAGGGAAGATACAGAAAAAAGGAGAGAAGACAACCAAGTCAGCAAAATTTTAAAAAAGAATAAAGTAAAATAACAATAGAGAGGAAATGCAAATAACTGTCGAAGCTATGATGCACAATTATATGGCAGCAAAACTGAGATGGATGATCATCTAGAAAAATATAAAATGCATGAATTAACAAAGTAAGAAACAGAGCTCTTGGCCTCATATTAGAAAGAGAAGTATTGTATAATAAGCTATGAATGATCTACCAAAGAAAGAGACCCTCATCTTGATGCATGCACAAGTTAATTAGAATTACTTTTTCTTATTACATATATATCATTATGTTCGATGCCACATTTTGGTTAGCCATCTTCCAATCTATAGATGTTTACTTTATCCCATTCTTTGTGACTCCCCAAAATGCTGGTATAAATATCTTTGTGCATGTAGAACTTTTCCTTTTGTCTTTGATCTTATTTTATTAGAGGCTAAGCAGTGAAATCATACCAGGCAAAAAGGTATGATGTTAGTCACTCTTTTTGTATCATTCCATATTGTTTTGAGAAAGGTTGGACCAATTCACAGCTCTTTTAATAGTATATCAGTATACTTGTTTCCCTATATCATTTACAACATTAAATGTTTAACTTTTTCTCACTTTGGGAGTGTGAGATAAAACTATAGAAGTATTTTAACTTATTTTTCTCTTATTTTTAGTGTTTTGCAATATTACATTATATGATTGCTGGTAGTTTTCAGTTCTTCATTTGAAAACTTCATATCTTTTTACTACCAATCTATTAAAGTATAGCTATTGGTTTTATATATTTGCATCAATTCTTTATATAAGTTGGGTATCAGATTTTTATTTTTGTCATATTTAATATAATAATTTCCACCACTAAACCACTTCTCTTCTTATTCTAGTGGAATTGATTTTGTTTGTACAAATTCTTTTCAATTCCATATAATAAATATGATCTACTTTCATTTTTAAATCTTCATCCTACCTTTGGTTATAAATTTCCTCTTGGTCATACATTTAAAAAG